GAGCAAACATTTCGAGCTAGTATAGCTCAGTGGTGTATATGCACGACTTCTGATTGATGGTTCAGTTGTTCAATTCTGACTTTCATCGCTTAAGGTAAAAATTCAATTCATTCGCCAAAGTAGGCTAAGACCATCATGACATGACATTGATGGCGTCTCAGTTCGAATCTGAGATGAATTGATGCTTAATTTTTTAATTTTTTAAATTTCAATTGGAACGCGTCTGGATGCGATTATTCCGGCCGCGTCTATACGCAAGAAATGTTTCACTGGAGCTGCGTTTTGAAACAAGATCGCGTCCAAACACGACCCAAATACGAACGCGTTCAGACGCGTTTCTGAAATAAATCGCGACTAGACGCAAGATTTGTTTCACTGGAGACGCAGTTCTTGCGTTTCTCCTTCGAATTTCGAACGCAACGAATCGCGTTTCAAACGCGTTTTTAAGTCAAAAAATATTTACATGGGAATGGCTCGTGAGTAAGATATTTTCCATTACTTTTCCACCAACATAGTTGAAAATAATATTTGTACAAAATTAAATAATTCTCGTTTGGATAAGTAGATTGATATTAAATTGAACATGAATTAATTCTCTTTTATTTTATTTTGTTTTATTTCCAATGTAATTTAATTTAATTTAGCTTGATATTAATAATTTATTTAAAAAGTGGTGACGATNTAAGTTTTCCACCGTTTTCACGCTTGAAAAGTGACTATTTTGTACAATAAACGTCGTTTCTTGCGTTTTTTTAATGAGCGTGAATGGATCACAGTCGCGGTTCCCGATTGTGCGTTTAAACGCGTTTTTCGAAAGTTTTGTCTGCCTGGGATATAGTCTTCTAAAATAATCTCAAGAAACAAAACCTTGTCGCTACTGTTCCAAGTCTCCGATGGTAGAAGAATCCTGAGATATTACGGAAAAGTGTACGTCTAGCATGATCAAAGCTCTCTTGGTGGAATACATACAGAAGCTTTATGTGTATATAAATTTAGTATGTAGGAAGCTCACTTGCTGACTTATGTAACTTGAGACAAGAGAAAACCCATGTAAACACCAGACGCAGGATATATGCGTTCCACCGCGGTTTTATTGTAAACTGCATTCAGATGCAGCTAAAATCAATTTTTACTGCGTCTAGACGCGATTTTATTGCAACCGCGTCCAGACGCGGTTGAAGAAAGATTCAGAGCACGTCTTGACGCCTTGATAAATGAAATCGCGTTTGCACGCTGTTTTTCTATGAAACCGCATGCAAACGCGCTTCCATATAAATACCACTCACAAGATAACCGCGTTCAAAAGCAGTTTTGTTATAAACTGCGTCCAGATGCGGTTGAAAACAACTTTGCAACGCGTCTAATTGCAGGTAAGAAAATGTTAAAAATGCGACTAGACGCAATTTTAGATAAAAGACATCTAAATGCAATTAAAAAAACATTCTTAACCGAGTCTAGACGTGTTTCATGCTTCAACTGCATTTTGATGCGGCTGGAGCGTTTTTGGTGATTGCGTCCAGACGCGTTTGCACTCCAAAAAATATTCATCAAGTGTCTAGTAAATGTGTTCAGACGCTGTTTTATCTCGAAAGAGTATGAATACAAAAAATATTGTGTTGAAGACAGAATTAAGAATAAAAGCCATCGGAACACATTTGAAAATTGTTTTCAACAACTGGACGGATATGTATCTTTCACGTGAAACACACATAATTCAGCTAGAATTCACCCATGGTATGTGTCTGACTCATTGAAATTTTATTCAATATTTTAAAGATAAAAAGCTTTTCCAACACGCATAGAAATAAAGAAAACCCAATCATGTAAAAAATAGAAATCAAATATAGACTATTGGACAATTTTTATAGATAGTAGATGAAATTACTTTTACCGATCTCCCAGCATACCCATGATTTTCGGTCAATCTTACGAATAACACTGATTAAATTGTATAATTAATAAATGATCATTATAGTTCAACTATATAGTACAATACAGGTTTTAATTGTAGTGTTTTGAATAAAATTATCCGCGATATTACAGTCGTAATGTTATTTTTTAAAATCTTTTTATATTAATTATGATTAGAAGATGGCAAAAAAATATGCAGTTGCATTTTAAACTGTTAAATCTGTCAGAAAAAAATTAAACAGAGCGTTGAGTATTTTGGATAGGTAGAAGTAAATTTCACTGCGCTGATGAATTTTAGTAGAGTGAAGATTCAAATATATTTCGTTTTGAACGAAAAAACATTTCGAGCTAGTACAGCTCACTGGTGTATATGCCCGACTTCTGATCGATGGTTCGTTTGTTCAATTCTGACCTTCATCGCTTAAGGTAAAAATTCAATTCATTCGCCAAAGTAGGCTAAGACCATCACGACATGACATTGATGGCGACTCAGTTCGAATATAAGATGAATTCATATTTTATTTTTCAATTTTTTCCATTTCAATTGGAACGCGTTTGGACGCGGTTATTACAACCGCGTCTAGACGCAAGAATTGTTTCACTGGAGCCGCGTTTTGAAACGAGATCGCGTCCAAACGGACCCAAATTACGAACGCGTTCAGATGCGTTTCTGAAATAGATCGTGACTAGACGCAAGAAATGTTTCACTGGGAACGCAGTTCTTGCATTTTTCCTTTGCATTTCACACGCAACGAGTCGCATTTCAGGCACGTTTTTAGGTCAAAAAATATTTACATGGATTCTACAATACTCCATCATGCAAAACGTGCGCCATTTTCTGTACGTGACTGTGGCTAGCTATACCTTTACACAACTCATATTAGTAATCATTCTAAGCAACAAAATCAACACGCTCATCAGATGTATCTTTCTATTCAAACTGCCTTTTCTCGTCGCTCTCGAATTATGGCATGTTGTATCTTAACAGGCACTCGATATTTTATGACGAAATGCGTCCTGTTCTCTCGTCACATGTCATGACAAATGATGAAAATGTTTTTTTTTTGTTCTTTTTTAACGACGCACAAAAACGTATGTGCATCAATTATGGTGTGATGAAAGCAAATAAGAACGAACGCAACTGCATCTACTTGCAAGCGAGTAAGTGTAACCCGTTTTATCCATCCATGTGCATCTTACCATTGCATGAAAATAACCTTCCTACTCTTGGAAGGTTTCAGAAAACATCCACAACGTACAAACAAACTATTTGGAAGAACTATCAAGACTATTCTGCATCGAAAAAAAGCTTTCGTAGTAAGAAGAAGAGCAACAACAACTAATGGATGCTTCTATATTCTAACTAGAAGACTCAAAATACATGTTTTTTACTTGTCTTCAGGATATAAAGGGTGTCCAATAAAAACTGAGGATGATTTTTTATTCGTATTTTTCATAGTTTTACTCGACGTAGACGGATGAAATTTTTATGACATTTACATCTGATCCAGATCTTTTATTGCTGAAAGTTTCAGCTCTCTAGCTATAACTAGTAGTAAAATACATCGACAAAACTGAATACATAAATTTTCGTAATCGATTTTGCAGGGTAGTTCCATGCGTAGCCAACCAAAAACTCACAAAGTATCCAAAAATTTTCTTCTGCATAAGACTTTGTAGAGCTTTTTTCGCTGATCCTTTTGATAAAAAACTTTTTGAATTTCGGTGAGAAATGACGATGTTATGATCAAAATATTTATCATAAAAACGGACGATGTCAGAGTTTTTTTCATAGAAATATCGTATACAATGTTCAATCGTGATTTATTCATTCTATTCGACCGTATCTGAGAAACCGTCTATAGGGTTTTGTAGAGCAAACTTTCCCCTACCAAAGCTACTATGTCACATTTCTTCAAAAAATAGCCATTCTGAGATATATGAATCGATTTTTCCTTACATTTTAAGCTATTTTACAGTGTTTAATTTTTTAACCATAACATTGTCATTTCTGAATGAAATTCGAAAAGTTTTTTTACCAAAATGACCAGCGAAAAAAGCTCTACAAAGTCTGATATGAAAGAAAATTTTTTTGATACTTTGTGATTTTTTGGTTGACTACCCTTAGAACTACCTTACAATATTTTCGAAGTAAACATATATGCAGAAACCGATTACGAAAATTTATGTATTCAGTTTTGTCGATGTATTTTACTACTAGTTATAGCTAGAGAGCTGAAACTTTCAGCAATAAAAGATCTGTATCAGATGTATATGTGATAAAAATTTCATCCTTCTACGTCGAGTAAAACTATGAAAAATACGAATAAAAAGTTATTCTCAGTTATTATGGGATACCCTTTATATGTTTGAAGACTCCTTGTTAAACAGAAACTCTCGAAGATTCTCATATGCAATTGAAATGTATGACTACTTATCGGCTGAACAAGACGAGTGTTTTCATTTCCAAGACTTGACTTTTAAAAAAAATTCTGCACAAATTATTCAAACTGAAACTCAATCTCGGTATAATGTTTCTTCATGAATTTTTCAATAGTGCTTCTATTTCTGTAGATATATTTGCCTATACTGAACTGACACATTTTAGTGTTCTATATCCTCTAGAAACTTGAAATATTCATATAGTTATAAGGCTTTACTCTCATCATAATCCTGCGTTTCTTCTTAAAATACAGCACAATACTCCTTTCTTATCGTGATCTTCTACCGTTTCTTGAATATCATAATGAGATTTGACGTCTGTTTTGTTCTCTATTTATATTACTTTCGATGTCCAGTGTGCTAGGATCTTTCATATGTGCTGTAGAATTGCACCAGCATTAAAAACTATGTATTTCATATTAGATGAAAGTGATCGAAATATACTCATCAAATCTTTATTTTTCGTAGAAAATCATATTACCAAAGGCGCATAATAATCAAATTTAATCATTGTTTTCTTTTAAACTATATAGCTAATCGAAAACATTAAAAATCACGATGCCAACATAAACAGCTGAAGAGAGCGTCACATTCTTCTGGAAAATAACAGTGAAATTGGATCTTTGATAAAATAAATTCTATTCAAAATGTCATCATCAATTCTTATTTTTCACATATTATCTAGTACAATATTCCTGACAGTCGTAATCGAAGCACGGTCAGTGTTAGATAGTCATACCTACCCATACGATGTTAAACATTTTGAATCGAAACTCGACACGACTACAGGCTATTGGTCTCCCAGCACTAGCTCAATTGATTGGTGCGAACGTAATTATGCTGTAACACAGTATATTACTGAATTTTGGAATTGTACTTCAAGCTTCCTTATGTGTATATTAGCTGGAATATTATTCATTCAAGGTTTATACCATAGAATTGAAAATCGATTTTTATTACTTAGTTTCTCCTTTGGCATTGTCGGATTCGGTTCTGCTTATTTTCATGGCACATTAACGCATTTCGGTCAAATGGCAGATGAACTTCCTATGGTCTATTTAATGATTGTTTGGTGGTTTATACTATTTAGAATGAACGAATTTAAACAGTTAAAAACTAAAACATTTGCAACTGATAAATTACTCATATTTGGAATATTTTATGGATTTTTATGGACTTATATGCATAGTTTACAAACTTTCGTATTGCTATTTCAATTGCATTTTGCATTGATGATAATAGGAGGAATTATGAAACTGATCTATTTATATCGACAGACGCAACATCATACACATTGTGTAATGTATCTAATCATGGTATATGTTGGTTTGTTGGGTCCAGCTATGATATGCTGGATTATTGATCAACAATTGTGTGAACAAATGAATAGTATAGGTGGATTTAATCCACAATTGCATGCTTGGTGGCATGTTTTCTGTGCTGTTGACTTTCATGTGGGTATTGTATGCGCTGAAACTATCCGTCTTTTATCAATCAAATATCAACAGCATTTAGTAAAACATACTGAATCTTCCGATCAATCATTTAAACCGAAAGATCATGTGCATATCGTCTTTTACTTAGGATTACCTTTCGTAGATTATTCCAAAGATAAACAAACAAATGAAGAAAAAAGCCAATAAATTATTAATACAAATCCATCTGCATTTTTGTTCAAAAATGTATAGCAATGGGCTCGTTTGTGCTTCAAATAAATGAAGAACTGGAAGAGATAGAGACATTTGTTTTTTTCAGCACTTTTAAAAATGAAGACTTTTTAAGGTGAATAAAAACATGTTAGCAAAAAAATGAGTTGTCACATTCGAGAAAAAGTAATCGACACATGCTTACACCATTGGAATAACTTGTCACATTTCAAATCTCTGATGACTAAAAAAGATGCGAATATCTATAACAAAAAGTTTTTCGATTAAATCAAATAAATCACTACATATCCATACATCTTATAGCACTCCATTCGATAAATTCTCGTCGAATAAATATCTGTGATGGAAAAATAAACATATCCATGCGGTGTGGTACAGAAAAATATGAGAATTGGTAGTACGAGGAAGTCTTTATGATTACGTACTTGCTGTGGCAAAATGGAGATCCATAGTGAACTTCTTAGACAGCTGATATATATTTTATGATGAGCAATGTGATGAAGGATACCACGATATCTCGTACTAAGAATGTACTGTTCAATGTTTTATCAATCATGTTCCAAGTGAGTGATGATTGACTGTCAACCACACAAATATGATACTCCCCGTTAACTAGATTCGGTAGAATTTTAAGACCTAAATTTGTACTCACATTAATTAGACTTAGAGCTATTAATAAGAGAATTGAATCATGTCGTGTACGATAGAGACTGTGATGCGAATTAACGCATTCAATAATGCTCGTTCAACGGCGAGAAAGAACGATTTCCATTGAATATCAAAGGAGAGTATATTAACGCAGCCAGGTAGAAAACTTCAGTAAAGAAAATTGTGTGAGAATAGTTGATCGTTGGAAAAGAGAATTGCAAGCGTTATAACCTCGAGAAAACGCATCCTCATTAGACTGTAGATTGAATAGACCAACAGGTACACACGAAAAGTTGTCATTCTTATCTTTGATGACGTGAGAAATGTTTCAATACAGATAAGATTACTGACAACGACGACAAACACTAAGAGTGTAATTAAAAATGCATATAGACATAATTAGATCTGCTGTTGTTCTCGTGCGACTTCACGTAAATTGTCAACTGACATTGATGTTGACATCAAGTAACTGAGATAATTATAACTGATTTCACACTGAAGATCAGCAATGAATTTCTTGCACAAACTTGTGAAATTATGGTTGTACGATAGTGTCTTGTTGCCCATTTTATAAAGGTTCGGTCGCTTTTTTACTACGTTTTCATGCAAACATTTTGTATATACATCTCTGGAGGTTGGCTAAAGTACTTTTATTTCAGTAGTGTATGACTGATTGATATTTGCTTCATTGTTATTAACCAGTACTACAACTGAATCAGTTAACAAAATGCTCCATTACTTAATCATCTTGTTTTTTGAGATCTATTAGCGCTCTCTCAACCGATTGATTTGTGGCATTAACCAATAGCACTGAAAGACGTACAGTATTCATCGAATAAAATACGGATTAATCGTATTCTGTACTGAAATAAAGTATTTTAAGATCCTTGTGATTAAGACTTGCTTGAGACCACAAATCGATGCAATATAGGATAAAAGAGTGAGGAAGGGGAGAAAGACTTTTGTCTAGAGGTATAGCAATGTTGTGCTTCCTCTTTTACTACAGTGGAAGAACTTTTTATTACATGATTCTTCGCTAATTTCTTCACTTGATCATGTTTCACTTCTTTTAGCTTTCCTCATACTTGTGTGAATCGCTCACAAGGGTTACCTAGAAGACTATCACCTCGAATTTCCAAGCATCTTTTTACTTGTCTAGTAGTTTACATTTTTAATGCGAACGTTTCATGTCAGAAAGCTCTCAGAAAATACATCAAGTACTATTTCGATGCTAACCAAGGAAGTATACACGAAAAATTTTAAAAAATAGCTAAAAAAAGAAAAGATACTTACGGAAAATTTCAAACAACATTCTTCGAGGTAACTCTTATCTATCTGTCAAACAATTCTGATGAACGCTAAAAGTTCAGAATTACTATGCGTTTACAAAATTTCAATCTGACTAAGTACAGAACTAAACGAAAACCCTTATTTAAAAAAAATCAATGCTACCGCAGAGATAGAATGAAACTGAAAATTATGAATAATTTCATTACTTCAGAGAACATCTCATTCTTTCTTCAGTCGGTCGTAGAACAATAATAGCTGAGCAAAACCGGACATTATACTTAACTTCAAATTAATAATCAGCTGATAACCGATGAACTCATTAACAATGAAATCTCAATCTCTCTATTCTAATGAATAAATCCATAGTTAGCAAAAAAAAAAGGAAACTTATACGTAAAAAGAATAAATCTCTCTCTCTCTCGACCCTGTTGAATAAACATATAGAAAGAAACAAAAGAAACTTATATTCAACAGAATAAACTCATATCTCAGTGAAAATGAACGATATGCGAATAGAGTTATTTTGACATACATAGGAGGGAAGAAGAAAGAAAGATGGACAAGTAACGGATTAACTTTCGTCACACAGTTGTTCTTTTAATAAGCTACCGATTATATTTATCTAATTTTCCTATTTTTTTCTACAGCGCGTCTTCTAAGCTATGACTTCATTACAGAAAGGTTTTCTTCGAAGTTTTATCTGAGCTGAATTTCCCAGATTTCTATATAAGACTGAAATTCGACTCCATTTTTGGAGATTCCGTCACGGGCCTTTATTTCAATCATAAAATTGTAAAGGAAGCTTCGAATCTGATGAAACTTTCAGAATGTTTAGAGGGTGTGGGTGTGAGTGTGGGTGTGGGTGTGAGTGTGGGTGTGGGTGTGGGTGGGTGTGAGTGTGGGTGTGTGGGTGTGGGTGTGTGGGTGTGGGTGTGTGGGTGGGGGGGGGGGGGGGGAGCGGGTGGTCTCGCGGTTTCTACTTTTTCGATTTAATATTCTCATTCGATAGAGCATAGTTTTTTACATATATCCCCAAATTTTCAAGTTTGTTTGATGTNCTCGGGAAATATGGTCAAAGGATCTGTGCGAGTGTATGTGGGTGTCAATGTCAGTGTTAGTCTGGGTGTGGGTGGGTATAGGTGTGAGGTATAGATGGATGAAGAGAAAACACATACCCACAGCCCACACCCCAGACTAACACTGACATTGACACCCACATACACTCGCACAGATCCTTTGACCATATTTCCGAAGCTCATATTTTATCTATAAGATATTCTAAAGATTGAAGTTGATGTTTTAAATGAGAACGATCTTTAGAGACTTTTTTGACTGATGCATAATCTAGAAGGTATGTCGGGGAGTGCGAGAGGCTCGTCGGTGGAAAGAGTATTGGTAGGATTTTCGGCGAAAACGGTGGAATGCTTCCTTTGTCGCTCGCAAAATATGGTGTTACTCTGGTGAGATTTTGGGGACAAACGGCTTTAGAACCGTGTTTTCCCGTTCTGATATGCTGCAGTTACTTTTTGATACCAGGTACAACCTGGTGAATGATTCCAGAGAACGGATACTGCTAGAACCGGCAGGAAAATGAGGGAAAAGTCACCGTATTCTGCAGAAAAACACGGAAACACGCGGAAACACAGAAGCAGTATTCCGGTCGGAAATTTTTTGGAATTTTTCCGATGAATTCCGACCGGTTCCCGCTGCGATGCACAGAAAGTTGGTTGGAATCCACCGGAAAAATCTGAAAAAGTTCCGGCGGAAATACTGTTTCCGTTTTCCAGTGATTTTTGGGTGTTTTACCACTAGGAAGGACATGTACTGGTAGACCTGGCCAGGAGTCGTGTGGAAAATCTCGCTTTCGGTACGGTGAGCCTGCGGCCGGAATATTGCTTCCATGATCCTAGGATATTTTCCGCTGTTCCTGACAGGAGTGATGCTATTAACCGAGCGGAATTGGCTTGAAAAAAGGTCGTTTCTGGCGGGTTCCTGCTGTATCCAGGCTCCAGAGTCATCGACCTGGCGATGTAGTATTCCAAGTGAAAATAACCATAGCCAGTGACCCAGATTTCGATCCGAATATTGGCAAAATCCGACGAAAACTGATAGAGTTTGGGAGTATTCTGTTGGTATCCAGTCAAATCTGACTATTGAAACCAGGATCACTAGATGCTCGCTTAATCACGATAGAATTCTGTCGGTATCAAGATGATCAGACAGAATCCGATGGATTAGCTTCGTCCTGAGATAATTTTAAAGTGGTTTTATGACTTATCTAAGTTCTAAAGTCTGCGAGAATTCGTGGAAAAAACGAACAAAACTACTAGCCAGCCTCGAGAAATTCATATGTATTCGACTTGTCGCTTTTCTGTGTTCAAGTCTGTCCGACTTCGACTGTTTCCTCCTTCTACCCTGTTCGTGGACATTATTTATGCATGTCATTTTAGATTCTTTCTGTGAAAAAAACCTGTGGACTGATCAGCTATATAGCCACCGATTAGCAAAAGCACTAGATATACACGAATCATTTTTTTACTAAAACAGCGACAAAAAATGTCCGTGAGACAATATTCGAAGTTTTTATAAGATAGGGGGTAGTTTATCACATGCTATTCTGAGCGTGAGATAAATATTTGCATAGTGATATTTTTCACATAAGTAAGATAGTAATAAATGTTTTTGGATTTTTTTAATCTATGCCTTATAACTATTGTTAAATAGTCGGTATACATTTGCTTTAGCGATAACAATATTTTTACATAATCTAAAGCAAATTATGAAGTTTTATCTTTTACTGATAAGATTCTGCATATAACATGAAAGTACATTTCAATCTGTTGGCATTAACTAGAGATGAATACAGTACTGCACGGAATGGGTAGGGTTCGAGTGTATATCGGGTTTATATGTCAGGTATGAGTGTGCATGCGTTTGGAAATATGAGTTCAAACGAAAGTGCTACATCTGCAACCCATACCATGAAGATCCATGAAAAATTAATTTTATTCCATTTTACTTTTATGTCATTCAAGCTATAATGATCTTGATACTTTAGTCGCTTTAGTCCATTGAGTCCCTTGACTACCTTTAGTCCTTTTAGTGTGTTTACTCTCTTGGGCCCCTTTAGTCCTTTTGTTGCCTGAAGTCCTTTTAGTGCCTTTACTACCTTTAGTTGAATGTAGGTGTGTAGCTGAATATGGTAAATCTTAAGGTAACGGAACCTCCAGACAAAGACCGAGATCCACATACCGGTATCCACTCACTCGTATCTTTACCTCCACCGCACCTACATCCACACTAAAGGCACGAAAGGAACTTTAAAGGACTAAAGGGACTAAAAGAAGTAAAGTCACGAAAGGGACTAACACATTCTAAGAGGTTTATGAGAACTGTAAACATAATAGTAAAACGCGATAAAATAACTTTTTCGTAGACCTATGCACGCCCACGTTAGCGTCCACATTCCAGACCCACATCCACACCGTCTATCTAACTCAATCCCGATCACAAGTCGGTCTTTGATGATCTACCAGTTATCATGCCGAAATGGTCATCAACAATATTTCACTCTGAACAGTGAGAGAAAATAATGCATAAGAGGCTTTTTTGGAGAGTTAACTAAAATGATGCCCAAGTTGGACAGGTTTTGAGACTGCTGGCGAGGGAACATATCCAACTGACGGAACGCTTTCGGGCCAAGAGTGGGCTCATCTTGTAGAGCTCAGTGAACTATGTTTACCCTAAAAAGAGTTCGGGCCCATGGCCTGTTTCCGAGGAGATCGAAAGTTTTTAGTGTTACAACTGGATATTTCTATGATATCTCAACCACATTGTATCAAAATGATCTCCAATTTTGACAAAAGCTTCAGCGTTTCTAGAGCTTTTAATTCTAAGCATTTTCATGAAAAAAATTTCAAATCTTTTTTGTTTTGATGGAGATAGACTCGAAACACTTTAACTGGTAAAAACCCAGAAAATCTGAAAAAATTTTTTTTTGAGAGTTTTTGGATGTTATTCACTGAAATTATTTTGAGTCTATCTCCATCAAAACAAAAAAGATTTGAAATTTTTTTCATGAAAATGCTTAGAATTAAAAGCTCTAGAAACGCTGAAGCTTTTGTCAAAATTGAAGATCATTTTGATACAATGTGGTTGAGATATCATAGAAATATCCAGCTGTAACACTAAAAACATTCGATCTCCTCGGAAACAGGCCCTGGGTCCGAATCTTTTCAGAGTAAACATAGTTCACTGAACTCTACAAGATGAGCCCACTCTTGGCTCGAAAACGTTCCGTCAGTTGGATATGTTCCCTTGTGAGCTCCGGTTTGGAAGTCGCTTGGAAACCACGTGATCGCTTTTTTTGATCATTTTAGATTCCCTCCTCTCCTGCGATCAAACGTGATTATTCTGGACGTCATTCTTCCTGCCGCCCCCCCCCCCACCCCGTAGCAAAAATACCAATTTTATTGGTGCTATTTAGCGAGTGTTATATCAAGTGATCAGTCGGGTTGATTACCTCTCGTCCAGGTGATCAAGCGCGATTTTCTCGGAATCCGCTTCCTCTCCCCCTAACTGGTAGCGTGATTTCCGAAGGGTGTCTCGGTACATGTGTAATTATAACCTTTTTCCGATGAAAATGTTTTGACAGATGGACAAAGAAATAAGCTTATGAAATTACGGTGGTCTTTGTTTTGGATATGTATTAATAAAACACGTTATCATTTTCTTTTAAAAAAAATCTACTAGATACTGATATCACAGGATTGAGGCGAAGAGGTGGGAACAGCTAGCGTTTTGAAGCGTAAAACAAAGATCATTGAGAGAACTCCTTATTCATATTATTAAACAAATAAATAACAGAAAATTTAGTTGATTATCAAAGGAGGAATGATCGACGATACACTCTGAATATCAAAGAAAAAAATGGTTTACTGACATTTCCGCGCCGACTTTTCCGCGCATAACACCATGATGCCGACACTTACGAGGGCTGTGGGCGTCGATCACGGGTGTGGATGCTTTCCTCTGAGTCACACTTACACTTAAGCCTATTCTAATGCGTTTGGGTTCGAGTAGAAGGCAAACCTGAAAATTCACTGTTTATCGGATTCAGGTCCACTTTCAGGTCTTCCTCAACAGTTGCTACTCCAAAAGTAACAATCAGTTATGTGAGGTGTGGGTGTGGGTGTGGGTGAGTGTCGGGTGTGGGCGTGGGTGGGTGTGGGTGTGGGTGTGGTTATGGGTGCGGATGGGTGTGTTTGTGGGCTGCAGATATAGAAAAACAATAAGCACATACCTACACCGACACCCCATACTCACATCCAACATCCGCACCCCACGGCACACCACCCACACACCCACACACCTGCACCCACACCCACACACCTGCACCCACACCCACACACCTGCACCCACACCCACACACCTGCACCCACACCCACACACCTGCACCCACACCCACACTCCAGTTTGTGAGACAACACAGCCCTTTTTGATAGTTCTTTGCTTTTATGTGCGGGCAAATCATGACAGGCTAAATTGGTGCCCTTCAAACCCAGTCTTATACACTACTTTCCCATTTCTTGTTGCCATGGATCTAAATAGAAAAAGAAAATCGTTAAAACAAATACTTGTATTTTATTTTGAACTTCGTATTAACCTAAATATAAAAGAAACACACTTATCTAGAAGTAAAAAATACTTACTTTTCATTCTGTTGTTGAGATTTGTCTAAATAGAAAAAAAATTATTCATATCAATAATACTTACATTATTTTTCACTTCATCATGAGCTAAATAAAAACAAATATATATGTATATATACATTTATTTTACTTTTCATTTCGTTGTTGGAACCGATCTAAATAGAAAAAGAAAATTATTAACATAAGCAACACTTACTTTTGATTTCCTTACCGCGATTGGTCTAAATAAAAACTGGCTAATACATATAAATAACACTTACATCATTTTCAACTTCATGTTGAACTAAATAAATAAATATATATATACGAACACATAAATATAATACTTTCCGTCGATCTCGTTGTTCTGAATTGATATTTTCGATTAATCTAAATAGAAAAGGAATTATTTATATGAAATCAATAATACTTACATCATTTTCCAGTTCATGTTGAACTAAATAAATAAATAAATCAATATGTATATATAAATATAATACTTATCTTCGATCTCGTTGTTTTGAATTGAAATTTCCGAGTAATCTAAATAGAAAAAGAATTATTTATGTGAAATCAATAATACTTACATAATTTTCAACCAGGGCTCTCGATGTGATGGGGGATGCTGGGGGCCAGTCCCCGCCACTTCTCTGGTGTGTCTGTCAGAAGTTTTCTCAAGATATGTCTGCGAAAACTTTTGATGTGCTCAAGTTTCTGACGAATCTGGCGAACAATATAGAATTTCTGTTCGTACCGGTGCATACAGTTGACTGTTTGTGGAATCTGGTAGACAGTGCAGAATTTCTGTTCATTCTAGTGCACAGTGTAGACTGTCTGTCTAATTTGGTGAATATAACGCCTATTGGATCATCAAAAAAGTGCAGCACATTTAGTGACATCAAAGAAATCTTTTCTTATCTTCATTGGAATAAACACAGAACAAATGTCACTGAATATCAGAATGAGTGTCTGATTGTAATTAAATTAACGTTTAAGAAACAGAACAATAGACGATTGAAAGTGACCGACTATATGGATATCAGTCAACTTGTATTCATGACGTATATTTGATGCATATAGTCATAACGTATTCTTGCGTGCTCATACATGGCTACTATAACAGTATCTACAGAAATAATTTGTCCAGATTGTGGTAAACGAATGACAAAAAAGAATTGGAAAGATCACGCTCGTCACAAACATACAATGACTGAAGATAGTATTCAAACAAAATACGAACGATTACAATTATCATTCTGTTCGTCATATGATAAGCCCATACCTATTGTTATGCATAATTTTTTTTCAACAAAAGAATTTGCTATAACAGTATCAAATTCTGAACAACAAAATCTAAACGATAGTGTTTGCCCCAGTGAAACTATTATTATTAATAATCAAATTGGCATTTTGACTAACTCTGGAAATGAATCAAGTTCGAAAGGTATTATTTATCAATCTTTCTAACTGCCAAATACCTTTTTATTTTTAATAGTAGATGATACAACGAGTGGAAACGAGAAGATATCAGTGTTTACGACTGCGGAAGGTGATAATCGAAATAAATTGGACGAAAATAACACTTTCAATAATGGTAAGTTGCTATTAAAATGTCAAAGTTATTCAATTTTCTTATTCTTCGTTTTAAGGTTCTCGTTTCTCACAAGATCATCAAGAAATAATTATTGAAGATAATGAATCCTCGTTAACCTCGGATTCAAACACGACTGACAATTATGAAGCTGAAAGTAATTATGATCAACCTTCAGTATCATTACAATCAACTGCTAGTACAATATCGAATTTATCAGATAATGTTATTATATCAATTAAAGGTGTTAGATTTATAAATGCTCCTGAAATGACTTTTGTTCAGGCACATCGTGCTAATTATCCGCATATAGTATCGAGTACAAATAATAAGTTACCATCTGTTAAACCAATTCCAACATGGTTTTCAAATGAATATCCATGGCTCCGTGCCATTCATACAGATAATCAATATGGCTTTTTATGCGTTGATTGTGCTGAATTCGCATCAAGTGAAATGGTGATTAAAAGAAATAACGATGCATTTGTTGTAAGACCATATTGGAAATTAAAGCACAAAGGGCTAGAAGGTAAGAATTCAAGCTTGTTTTATTAGAGTTTTCATAATGCTTTGCTGATTACGAATTAGAATGCATAAAAAAAGGATCTTCATCGAACGTATGTTAATCGACGAGCTGCATCAAGAATTGTTTCAACTAGCGGTAATGTGATTGGTCAATTACAATGTGTTAATTTGGATATGCAAACACGAAAATATCGTGCGGTTCTCATCCAAACTCTTTGGAAAATTATCAGAGAAGAAATGCCATTGGTGAAATTTAAGCCATTAATTCAATTTCTTTATCATCTTCAATGTCCAGATATTGTTAATTGGTTCAAAATTTCTAATGTCAAAGAGCGGTGAGTTTTGAGCTTTCATTTTATAGAAAATGTACTTACTTTTTTCTCATTCAGATATTGGAGTTGGAAAGCAATAGCTGAATGGTTATCAAATATTAATAAATATCTTCATCATCTCCAACCTTCATCTATTAGAAAAACTCGTTATATCAATCTCATTGTGGATGAAACTCGTGATTTAATAACTAAAGGGTGGGTGTGGGTGTGAGGGCATGGGTGTGGGGGTGTGGGTGTAGAGGTGTTGCTACCCTTCATCTTCGCACCCACATCCACACCCACACCCTTTAAATCATTTTCGGACGAACATCTCTGTCTACCGTCCCGACTAGTCTTTGTCTCAAAAAGTCCTCGATCATGACTAGTGCGTGCGTCTACAATGTACATTCCTGTCAATTCATAAATTGATAGTCAGAGACGAGTCCCTTTTGGCTCAAGGACTAATCTTATCATATTTCATGACGACGGTCAAGTAGAGTATCAGAACGCGTACGCATAACGATCAGAAATTCGGACTCGTAGCGGACGAGTCGATTTTGCGATAAAGACTAGTCAGGACGGGGTGACATGTCTAGAAAAAAGACTAGTCACTTAGCTCGTCTTTTGCTCACTTGGGCGAGGAAATGTGTCGTCGTCGATATGTACTTGAGCAAGCCAAAAGTGAGTTCGAATTTATTCAGAATACATTCATGCTTCATGATTTTCAGAGAATATTTCCTCAACAACTCATCCATGTGGACTTGTCGTTGGCCCAACTGCATCTTATCTTTGCTGCAGTCCTGATGCTACAGTTGCTGAAGTTGTCAACAATATCATCTCTTATGGTATTCTTGAATGTAATTGCGTTTATGCCGAACCAGATGCAACTTGGGATGATCTTATTTCAGCTCGTGAACATTTGTGTCTCGAACGGAAAGATGATAAGCTTCAACTGCGTTCTGATCATGCATACTACTTTCAACTAATCGCTCTCTTGGATATACTCGATTTAACTTGAATTGATACATGTATGCTGAACGAACAAGACGTTTATGTGCAACGCTTGATCCATAATGAAAAAGTGTGGTCTGCTATCAAAAAAAACTCATCACTTTTGACTTCAACTTTCTTTTACCAGAAATAATAAAAATAATCTGATTTTTCTTTATTTTCTTAAAACTTTTTCTTTTTGTTAAAATGTATTTTATTTGTTAAAGTATATCTATTTTTTTCAATAAAGTTTCTGTAAAGTAATATATTAAGATTATTATACTATATTTCACTACAAAAATATATTATGCTTGATTTGTTTTCTATATGATTGTGATTTTGGGACGTTCATTTATTTATTTTTTTTTTGCAATGGAATGGATTACTTATGTTGATGAAAAAGACGGAAAAATATCAAAGAAAGTAGAAGATGAAAAGAGAGAAGTCGTGTATAGCAACATATTGTCTCTCTCTTGAGGTACTATTTTTGGTGTCGGGTGACTTATAAACGAATTGTGAACATGGCTCATTCCATCAGAATTTCTTCAAATGACAATTTAACCTCAAAAATATTAAATAAACGTTTGCTATTTTTTGTGACATCTTTCAATATTTTATAGTTTTCGTGTTATTTAGAAAGTTCAACAATTATTTTCATCTTTGTTATATCGTAATTCCAAATGAGCTTTTTCTAGAGCGAAAAGTTTTGTCCAAAAACCAAACGTCTAATTTTGAATCGAGAGCATATCTTCATATTTAATAATTCAGTTACTCTTCGTGAATAAAAGCATGAAGGTATATATAACATCTTATGACATGAACGCATTGTTATGATAAAGAAAAACATTTTTGAAAAATATCAATGTTCGATTCTCTCCATGTCAAGCGTATTATCGTTGGCGACTCTAGTTCTTGGCTTAATCTTTTTGATGCAAAAGTAGATAACAACAGCGAATCCAATAAGAAGGACACCAACTCCTATACTACAACCGATAATGATACCTAAGGTAGCGTTGTTCGCTAAAAAGACAAAACAAAATATTCAATTTTTGATAAGATATCAACTCACGTTGCTTTGTTGTAGAACTAAATGACGATGATGTTGTTGGGATCTAATCAATGATAACATCTTTTAAACTAGATTTTCATATCAAACATTAAGTCAAATCTTTTACAGAAAGCAATTTCTTAAAGCTGACAATACTTGTTCAAAATACTCTTGAATTGTTGTTTCGTCATATGTGTAGATATATTAATTGTCATCGTGACTGAATCCTATTTAGTTTTTTTTCAAAAACGCTTTTGAGTATGTCCTTAATTTTGTCAATGGTTTAAATCACTATTCAATTTTGAATGAATGTTTCTGCTGAAGAGTGAAATTCACGAGGAAAGGCTATCAACTGCTCAATCGCTTTTCAGTCGAGACTATGTGCTTTATGTAGACCCGAATGAGTTATGAATACCCAAAAAAGAGTTCTGCAGATTAGCTTATTGCTACGGAGATACTGCATCTTTACGATATCTTTTTAAATACATCTCGTGGGCTCCTCAGAAAGACCAGAAAGCCTTACTTTTGAATTTTGAATCCAAGTTTTGCATAAAGATAGGTCTTAACGAGAATAGTTTATTTTGAATGTTTCAAATTTTTGTTGCTGCTTTTATCCTAAGATGGAACTATGGTAATAGTGTGTATTTTACATAACTCATATGAGTCAACAGATGTGATGCTCTTATTTCAAGATAGAAGCAAATCAAAAGACCTGAAACTTCTACAACAAACTATTCTCATTAAGACCTATGTCTATGCAAAACATTAAGTCAAAATTGAAAAATAAGCTTTTCTCGTATTTCTGGGGGAGATCACGACATTTCTTTAAAAAATAATGTAAAACTGCAGTATCTCCGTAGTAATAAGCTGACCTCTTGAACTCTTTTTATGGCACTGATAACTCATCTGGGTCTATATAAGGCACATAGTCTCGACTCAAAAGTGATTGAACAGTTGATGACCTTTCCTTGTCAGTTATATTTTTAGTACTTGAGCATGTTAAATTTCAATTGAAAATCATCATTAAAAATTTCATTAATGTATATAAAAAATGACATGTTAGTAAACAAACCTGTGAATTTGTGATAGTTGTTGTCAAAAGTGTTGTAATTGATTCAAATGTAGACTCAATTGATATTTCAATCTAATAGACGAAATCACATTAATATAGTTATAGTTATAACCACTCAATTATGTTCATCTTTATCACCAAAGAAACTACATTTTACCAGTATCTCACTGATATTTTTCAGTACTTCGATGTTTTGAAGCGCTTGATGCGTTCTTGATAAGTTGGAAATCCGATGTTTTTCGAATTGGCAGCGGAATGTGCGCATGAGTGAGAGAGTGCAAGTCAGATCTCTTATTTCCGGTCACACCCATCTCCAAACCATTCGTTTGCGTGTGAACATTCTGTTGACTGAGAAAGTCAATGCTACTTCAACGTGGAATTTTATCGCAATAGGTAACTTTTCCAGCTCTATCTAATAGGTTTTTTCAAAAGAAACGGAATACTTGGGTGTTATGCTTTTCAGAAGATTTCTGGCGACTGCTGGGGAAAATCCAACAAGTTTCTCGAGAATGAAAAGTATCATGATGATCAAGATGAACAGAAGCCTTTGAATTTATGTTCACGAAGCAAAATATGGTTTCTATAGTCTTTACAATGTGTTTCAAAGTCATGACAACAGTAAGACATATGGCACGTAAGATGGGCCACAGTATGTCTGAATTCGATCGAAACAATCATTCAAAAAAGGATGTCCTGTACGTATTGTCCATTTCAAAATAAAAGGCAGGTTGGCATTTTTTGAATAACTTTTGATAGGAATAAGATAGAGAGCTGCGGCTTTCACGATTAAAAAGAGAAAACCCAGGGGCATAAATCAGAGCTGAAATTTGATTGATTTGCAATAGACCAATTAGGTTTTTTCTTGGTGGACATTTTGAAAACTATATTCGCGAGTTATTTTTCGATTTCATTGAATTGTTGGTGCAAGTGTTCGATAGAAAAAACTGTTCTCTTTCGATCTACACAAGGCCGATCTTCGTAACTTGTTCTGTTCAAGAGTTATAAGGGTTTTCCTGAGATGCCTGATATCAGCTATTGAACCTTGGATCACCCAGAAAGGCATCGAGCATGGGGCAATTCATCATGCTGACTCGAATGGTGATATTTGTTATTGGATTCTGAAGCATCTGACACTGTTATTTTACAATTTTTGGTAAATGCCATCTCAATCGATACATAACGGCAGATTGTGAAAATTCGAAAAATTGAGAAATAACAGTGTCGGATACTTCAGAATCCAATAACAAATATCACCATTCGACTCAGCATGATGAATTACCCCATTCTAGACGCCTTTCGGGGTGATCCAAGGTTCAATAGCTGATATCAGGCATCTCAGGAAAACCCTTATAACTCTTGAACAGAACAAGTTACGAAGATCGGCCTTGTGTAGGTCGAAAGAGAACAGTTTTTTCTATCGAACACTTGAACCAACAATTCAATGAAATCGAAAAATAACTCCAGAAAATCGCATTCAAAATGTCTATCCAGAAAAAACCTGATCGGTCTATTGCAAACCAATTAAATTTCAGCACTGACTTATGCCTCTGAGTCTTCTATTTTTAATGGCGAAAGCCGCAGCTCTCTATCTTATTCCTATCAAAAGTTATTCAAAAAATACCAACCTGCCTTTTATTTTGAAATGGACAATAGTTTCTCAGGACGCAACAATTTATCCATATCGAAAATCTAAGTATTGGTTCTCCTCAGTTATCAAATCAAGTAAAAACTTCAAATGTCTCGAATACATAGGCTTTTGCTTATCGTGAACACTGAAATTATTCATTTTTGAGGAATATGTCGGATTTTTCCGTGAAATCTCAAGAAGTTCTCTGGAAAACCATAACACACATATTTTTCTTTTAATTACCAAAGCCATTAGATACAGCTCAAAAAGTTACTTTTCGTGGTAATGTTTCACGTTGAAGCAGCATTATCCTCACTAGTCAATGGGATGCGCACATGCTGACAGACATTTTCATGATCTTATTTGACCCAGAATCTTCGATTACCTTTCTTGTTTGATTTCAACGGATTTTGTCAAGTACGTGTGTGGGGATGCCTATCTAATTTTCATTTACGATCAAACCCACATCCATATCCTTAGATCAGTTGCTATGCATGATAAACAGAAAGGCAAACGACTACCGAACCCTACCTCGGTAATGATCGTAGTAGCAATTGTTGTTGTGATCGTCGTGGCAGTTGTGATCGTCGTGGTAGTTGTGGTTATCATTGTTGTCATCTTTGCTAACATCTCGTTGACTTCATCTCTTGATAAATCCATTACGTCTGCTAATTTCATAAGATTATCTTCTAAATTTGTGCGAAAATTCGTTTGGATATCAGCCATTATTTCAATTCTTCCTAAGCTTACTTGATCTTCAACAAATAACACTTCAAGACTTCCTGCCGCTGCCTGAAATAAGAATATGATTAGAACTCTTTATCGTAGAATTAATTTCAGTGAAGTGTAAATTAAATTTATTCTATCAATAAGAAAACGAGACAATACTTTTGAATCTTAAGTAAAACGTTTTTTCTAAAGATAATTTAAAACATTTAATTTATTGAAATCATGATTATTACTTTTGAATCTTCATTGAGAGTTCAAATTTGACGATTAAAAAGTACACGAAGAGTTTATTTCAAAATTTGGCTATAGCAGCTTAATATCACATCATTAGAATAATCTATTTTGTTTTATTCGTGAGCCTTGATATGGCATTATTTCGATTAGGTTTGTTTAAAACTGATTTTACTCAATGATTTTCCATCAAAAGAAAAACGTACATGAGGCAAATCTGCTTGTTGTACATCAGCTCTGCATGCTTTTTGTACATTTTCAATTGTTCTATTGTAATGTAATGATCGTTCCCATGGTTCAGGTGCCATACTTTTAAGATAATTACTAATATAAATATTACAAATAAGTATAATAATATCAGGAGAATAAGAAGATCTTTGATAATCTATTATGAGACTTCGTTCAGGTTCTGAACTACATGTTGAACCTGTACAAAGACCATAAGAGTTATTAATATTTGATCGTGTCTGCCAAATGTTAATATTAAAATGACGAGGTTCTCCATGTTTCTAATAACAAAAATAAAATATAGTATTTACAGTTAGTTTGTCTGTATGAAAGTATTTCATGTTTTCTAGATGACAATTCTATGATAAGGCTTAACTCTCTAATCTTCAAATATATTCTTTATTTTAAAGAAATCTTGTATGACTAATGAAGAAAATCGAATTCTTCTGAAAAAGAATCGAAACCCTATCAAGTCGCCTCTTTCAGACTTAATGAGTTACCTGTGAATCTTGTATGTAGATTTCCGCGTCGTATATCATAATTGTTCATTTGAGCTATATTAGAAATTCCATTTTATCTTTAAAAACTTGAGACGTAATTTAATATCGTACTGAATCATATAGTATGTCTTGTCTACTGTAAATCGCTAAGTAATTATTCTATGATAGTCATTACTTTTTGTCATTTTCGGAACAATATATTTTTGTATATATGTCTATATTGTTACACTCTCACATTGAACATCATTTTCGTGATTCTTTAAAAACTCTTTCTTCAGTTGTATTGTATACACGAATTAATAAATGATTTTTGGTTTAGAGACTTTTGTGCATGTCTTTATCTAACATCCTATGGACACTGTCTTACTTAGTATGCTCACCTTTGTTTTCACAGATTGCAAAGGTTTCACAATCAGAAAAAATTTCAATATCATTTCAAGTTTCTAACTTTGACTACTAATCGCTGCTCCAGCTGCAATTTTATGAATATCTATGTATCTACGCGCGTACAATAAAGCTGCAGCTGCTTATTTTTACACTTACATAGGTATAATTTACTTTCCATGGCGCTAGTTTCTGCGAAAAAAACGCGTTCTCAAAACCCGTTTTTCCATAATTTCGAAACACGTTAATGCTGACCGGTTTGATGCGTTTCACATCTGCTAAAACAGACGCTGTGGAACGATTGTTTTTCTAAAAAATTCCGTAGCGTTTTTCAAACTGTGGTGTTCTATATTCTAGATGGAAAAAAAATTGAAAACCGTCAATTACTTCATATATATGTTGAGTTGTAGATACAATTCATGTACTCGTGGACATTTTTTCGTAGACCTTTAGAACTATAAATTACATGAATTTTAATAAAGTCATGACATGGATTAGAACACAAGAACATAAGAGTAGAAGACATGTGTACAGACCGTTCAACTAAAATAACCTAATGAAACTAGTGTTTATTCTACTGTCATTCCGAATCTTGCTTAAACTTATTAAATTAGATTTTCAGTTTCCTATTCCAATGAATTAAAAACTATCGTTTCTTTGGTGCCTATATCCTATTACGAGTGTGATCTCCTCTTGATATAATTTTTATTTAAAAGCTTTCAAATTCAAATTTAAATATCTAACAGAAATGAATTTAGTCGATTTAACTTGTGTTTGATATTTGAAAAATCGAATTTCTTAGATATAAATTTTAAAAAATTGAAAATTTATTCTTTTTAATTGTTTTCCTGATTTGATAGATTTTGTAAATGTAAATTCGTCATGCTGATATCCATTTATATCACTAAATGGAAGGAGTTTTCTTTTGTAAGCGAATCTTTTTTGTTAAAAGTCATGCTTACATTAACGATGTACGAGCTACAATCATATTTAGTAGTATTGTACACAGTACCATCAGTCACTATCGAGTAGTTCATATATGAACTCATACTTATAATTATTGAAATTATAAACAACACGAGAATTCTTTTGTTCAAAAATAATCAAATCAAGTTGCCGCATTCATTATATTAGTTTTAGGCTTTACTAAATCTTTTCGAATTGTTCGATTTTTAAAACAATTCTTGGTGGAACGTTACGAAACGCGTTTTCTTTCAAGAAAAACGTAAATAACTGAGTTTTCAAAGAATAATATATTGTTGTTACACTTTGATATTTAATATTAGCCTAACTTCGAACTAGATTTAGATAACAGCCTAGCAACCTAAACTTTTAGAAGAACTCAGCTTTAATCTTGCCTTCAAAAAATCTGGATCATGATTTTCACGTTCTAATATAGTGCAAGAAGCAAAATTTTCAGGTGCTATTTCATATCATTTGCATAATAATCTCAAAGAGTTCACTTTGCTAAACTCATATGCTTTATATGGGTGAATTCCTGCAAGATTCTGTATGCAAAACGGATACATTTTAAAAAACGACGGTAGCAAAACGCATTCTATCTAAATAAGAATGCTGCGAAACGCGTCCTGTATTGAAAAAACGTTGCGAAATGCATGCTACAATCTCGGAAACGCGTTACGCAGTCCGTTTTCTTCAATACTTTACTCCGTGGGTTTTGACTGTAACTTTATATAATTGTTAATCATTGCATCTTATCCTTTCTGCCGATAACTTGTTAATATTTGCATCGATTTTGAAAACATGTATTCGCTTTAGTTTATAGATTTAGATTTTCCTCAACCTTCTTTACAAAAATTATCCAGAATTTAGACAAAGAGTTAGAGCAATAATGCGTTTATCCCGTATGGCATGTCGTTCCACAATTGAAAATAGTTTTCTAACTTATAGACACTAGATATAATTTGATCATGTACTTCAATTCCTCTGAGCCATCAGTCTAAAAGATCCCTATGACCTAATAACACTTCTCAAACAGCATATTGGTTGCAATCTTCGCTTAATGATGTTGATGCACAAATAGATCGGTCATTTATGCCACTGTCATCGAGAATTCAGAATTTCGGCAAGCAAGAAACAGATTCTCAAATAGAGGAAAAACACAATAGTTTCTAGCGTCCTGCTTTTTCCGCACCAAAAGTAGTTTCTGACTTATATTATAATAACTCTTTCAGTTTTTTTCCATCAACTCTTTAACATACATGTATGTTTAATTATTTCAGTAAAATAAACTATAACCTTACATTATGTGTAGTAATGATTGTTAAGTTTCCCATGTCATAATAGAGAGATAACGTTTCAAATCGATTTGTTTCTGTAATTGTAACATTAATTCCTAAAACATCAAATTTAATATTCTTCTGTAGATATAATTATATTTACCATTGCTTTCACAACTTTCTGTTGGTCTAATAGCAAACTCCAAAGAATTAATACCACAAATTGGTCCAAAAGTACCATTGAATATAATTGCTGAAACCTAAAATAAATTATATAGATTATTATTAATAAAAATAATATTAATTACAATTTACTTCAACAATCCATGAACGTTGAACATCGATATCAACTTTGAAATGTCTATCTCTTCTATTAAGAGTATATAAACCTGATGTTTGACAATCTTTATAATCAGAGAAATTTTGATTAATCCAATGTGAA